TGAATACGTCCTTATGCCTTTGGCATGTTCTCTCAGCACATGTGTACTGTAGCAGTGACTAGTTTGTTCCTAGAACCAATACTCCCTAACAGACCTGCTGCAGAGAGGAATCAAGAGGCTTCCATCATATTCTTTACACTAGCTTCATTTAAAATTATCTTACTGCACACAAACCTTTCAATTAGTTTATAATTATCTGTTTGGGGTTCAGTATTAATGATATCTGGATTGGATTAAAAATGACAAAAATAGCAAATGCCAATTAAACCAACATTTAGTGAACTAAAATGATTTTGTCTACTACGAAAAACCCTCCAGACCACACTAAAGCATAAGCTTCCCTGATTCTCCTCATATATGGTCTGAATCACCAGTCCATTTACCTGACCATCTTACACATTTACTTCCAGGGTGTATCAACATCCTAGGAACCTTAACGAATTACACAGGACTTGGACTAGAATCAAGCCAAGGACTTGCACTAAAAGCAGATCTCTTTCTTTCCACAAGTGGTAGGATAATTGCTTGATTCCCCTATCAACACAATCAGTGCTGATGGGGGAATCTTTCCTGCAGTGCTATTGTGTTCTGCTGGTGGGGAGCATTCCCTGCTAGCAGCTATAGCCACTGGCAGTGATCGCACAGGCTGGAAGGATCAGCTTCAGTACAACCAGCCTGCCAATAGATGAATCAAATCTTGGCCGGTCTCTGCTGAACCAGACGAGTCTCGATCCATCCTTGGCCAGCTTTAGTTGTTTTTTGTAAATAGGCCAAAGGTAATGTAAAATGAACTGCCTTGCTAAAGGAATTGCTCCTGTGCAGTTAAAAAGACCAGCCTTTACCGCTGTTGCAGCCTGTGTGCTGTAGGTTTGTAAACCTGGTGACCAGTCAGTAGGCAGCACTATTATGTACAACAGAGGTCACCACTCAGCTGTTGAGAACTTTGGCAGTATGTACCAGAGCTGACATCAGGAGACCTACATTATCAAATGCCATTGTATTATTGGAGGATCCTTTCACAAAAAAAGTTACCTCCAGGGATTTATTACATTTTAAATCTCAAATGCATAGTGGGGAAGGTTACTAAAAATGATTTTCTCTAGGGTCCCCGAGGTCAGGTTTAATCTCCCTAACTAGTAGCTGTTATTTCTACAGCGGTTATTTCTTTTAGGGAAAACTGTCCAATCTGCACATAATTCAAAGATGTATTACTGACACTATGTGGCAATCATTCTATGGAAGTAACAATTTTAGAGCAGTTATGCATTTTGTACAGAATTAGATACCTTTCATACTAACAGCACTGTACACAAAATCATATTAAACTTAAAGCAGAACTCCAGGCAAATATTCCCCATGCAGTGGAGCTGTGCCTGCACTGCATGAGTTAACTGTGTTTTGACTAGGGGTGAACACTATACTCACCCGATCCTTCAGAAAACAGCACCCCCCCCCCCCCCGCATCCAACGGTGGACTGTTCCTGCTGTCATAGAGCCAATCTATGAATGTGATGACACCAGAACAGTCCATGACCATGGAGGGCAGGACCGGCAGAGAGCGGTCTTGCGCTGAGAGGATCGGCAGATTAGGAATCTTGGCTCTCCAATACCCTAGATAAAAACGAGCAGTTAACTCATGCAGTGCGAGCTGCATAGGCACATTCTGTTTTCCCTGGAGTTCTTCTTTAATTGTGGAAAATTAGCTGGACACTCTTCTTGAATTGAATACCTTTCCTAAAGTATAGCTCAAGTGCTCCTCATATAAAGTAGATTGCTTTCAGAAAACATCCACAAATAACTGCAGTAATGCACCAAATACTTTGTATTATGCAACAGCACTAAAATCATCAGCAAAACTAACTCAAGGCTTTTTTACTCTTTAGGAGTGTTAGTTAAAAGGATCTGCTCTGGCAGCTGACAAATTCCTCATATCACCACTGTTACCCTATTGGATGCTAAAGACTTCAGTGTGGTAATGGGCTGGCTTATCCAACTCTCACGTGTAACAGCAGCAGGCATATGCTGGCCAGAATGAAGGTTTTACAGCACTCTAACCCTGCAAATTTAAAATGGTTTTGAAAATAGCTGTGCATTTAGAGTTTACCGTTACTGATGTTCTATATGCACTGAACTACAATAAAATGTCTGTTGCAAATGGGAAATTGGTAATTGCTACCTTTGAGTAGTTAAAATTCCTATTTAGGTATTTCAAAGACTGGTATGGATAAATAAAATATGGATCCGCTAACACCAGTGCGATTCAGATGTGACCTGAGTCACGCAGCATTGCTTGACAATGAAAATCACATGGTTTTCAATGGTGTCAGATCATAATGTAATTCAGCGCAGCGTGATTTTGAAAAAGGCTCCTGTATTACTTTGGTGTGACTTCAGTACGATTTTGGCCCCACAGAACAAACCACATCCAAGTTGCACTACATAATCACACTGAAAAATCAGATGGCAGCAGTGTGAAGCTAGCCTAAGTGATATCTCCACTGTAACATGCATTAAGCTCAAATATGTTCCTCAATCGCCGGACTTTTGTAGGTGTTTCAAGGGTGGCCATATCTGGCCCATAAAAACCAGTGTGCACGTGCTTTTCAATGTCAGAGCCGTTATCGGACAGACAGAATTTCCAACAATCTCAGTAAGCGCCAATCATTTCCTTTCCCACGGAGGATAACGGGACCAAGCTGCACACACACACACCACAAACACCTGTCTGCCATATCAGGAAGATGATCACAGAACAACCTAGAATCATGACTAGTTATTGGTGGCAAATCTGCCCATGTATGGCTATACCCTTTACAGTATCATCAGCCTGACTTCACTATCGTGCATGTTGTGTTCAAAGATTTGCTTGCTTAGCTTCTAATTGTAAAATAAATCTTAAATTGTACGTTGTGTCCAAGTAGGACAGTCAGTTTTTTTTTCTGTACTATGTTACAGGATTGGATGGTAGAAAAATCAATGAAGCCATGTTCCTTTTCCTGCAGAGGTAATATATCTTCACAACTGCCGCCAGGAGCACTGCGACACAAGATAAAAGTTTCCTTCAACCACAATAAATGATGCTAGAACACAGTCTCCATATAAACTGAGGGAGATAAGATAGACTTTCCCTAGATTAATGTGTATAGTAACTTTGTGATCTACAGAAACAGAATTTCAGTGAAAGGTATATATACGTATGCCTGGACACATCTAGATACATTCATAATCTCATCGATCGCTTCCCCTTATAAGGGCAAGCAGCAAGAGAAGCCATTTGGCAGCGTGTGCAAAGCAAGCACGGGCTCTGACCCGGGAAATCTCACAGTGGTGAGCTCAGGAGCTGCACAGCCCCACCCTCTTCATACATTAGGACACATCATGGCTTATACCTGATCAACCCATTATAACACCAGGGACAGCAAATCTTTTAATGCGTCTAACACCAATTTTACCACCTCATACTTCTAGCTTTAAACCAGCATCTCAACCTTTTTCCTGGAGAAAACCCCTTAAAGTCATTTTCAGATCTCAGGGGGCCTCTTTGGGGGTGAGAACACCCTTACATTGTAAAGGGGTCATTCTTTCCACTGACCACCAATCAGCTAAGAAGCTCATTGGCGTGTTGGTGGCTCCATTGAGGTGTATTGGAACCAGAATTATGTAGGCACCATCAGATGGGTAGGTTGATCAACCAAAACTCAAAAAAAAAAAAAACCCTCAATCACAGGAGGAACCCTTGTGTTGCACTTGAAAATGGCTGTTCTAAGAAATGGTTGAAAAGAGCCTTCACCCAAAAATAAGCCACTTGCTCCTCTCATGCTGAATGGGTCAACGTGACAAGACAGGTGGTCAGAATGGCAGCAGAGTGGTTGTGTCGCTTCCTATATGACTCAACGCACAAGCCAAATGAATGATCACCAAAACTGACTACACTGTAGGAACACGTCAGGGATTCCCACCGAGATGGCACATGGTAGGGCTGGTGCCAGTCACTAAAGGGCCCTGTGCCAGATGAAATTTTGAACCCCCTTCATTCAAACTACCACGTATATAAAAAAATTCTCCATGGAACTACTTACAGGTGGAAAGACGTCAGTCAATGCTAGGTCTTCAATGATAGAAGGCCGAGTACCCATAAGACCTAAAGATCAATGGGTCCCCTAGTCTCAAAGGGCCATGTGCAAGACCAAATTTTGGACCCCCAATCCATTCAATCACATACATAATGAAACATTGACTGTGGAACTGACAGGTGGAAAGACATCAGTCCATGCCAGGTCTACAATGATAGAAGGCCGAGTGTCCATAACAGCTGCAGACCAATGGGCCCCCTAGTCTCAAAGGGCCCAAATTTTGGACCCCCGAACCATTCAAACTATCACATACACTATCAAACATTCACTGTGGAACTACTGACAGCAGGACAGACATCAGTCAATGGCAGGTCTACAATGATAGATGGCCAAGTACCCATAAAACCTTTATATCAATGGGTCACCTAGTCTCAAAGCACCCCTGTGTGGCACCCACCCCTCAGAAAGGGCTGAACTTCCATGGGGACTGTCAAAACACCTTCCAGCCTAGGACCTATTTCTTCTATGACAGAGAATGGGCACCCATATGTGAGGAAGAAGCCCATTAAAGTGGATGTGCTGCCACTCTGCCCTCCAGGTGACCTCAGCCCCCCCAATCTACGGTGTCTCCAGGAAGTAGAAGCAGCCTGGGGCACCCTTAAGGTGGCCATCTCCAATATGACAGGAGAGGCTGAGCAGAATCAAAATGGAAGGTCTGTGCGCCTTTGCTCATTCTCCCCCTCCCCCACCCACCCAGAGCACATGGGCAGCCCGGCTCATGATGTCCGCCCTGCCTGCGCCTTTCACGACCATTCCACCGGGGGGAACACGTGACCCCCGGAGCCCTGACGGGAGGCCTTTCTCTGAGGCCCGGTTCTACAAGGCGGGGACACTCCCCCCACCCCCGGGGCCCCCCTCGCTCCTCACCTTGGGATGTCTCGAAGGTCTCCGGTTCCCTTGCTCTCGTCCTGCTGGCTGAACCAGACCTCCAGCAGTTTCTCGGTGCCCTCGAAGAAGTGCGCGCCGTTCTCCTCCATCGCCCCCGCGCCTCACGGCAGCCGGAAACCCACCGACAACGCAGAAAATAACGAGAAACGGAAAAATAGAGATTGCCGTCTAATCCTCTCCTCTTCTTCTTGTTTCTTTTTTTAATTCTTGTTCAGGTTGGACTCTATAAAGGACAGCACAATGTATATAGTAGTGTTGGCGTAGAGCTTTCTTTTCTTTTATTTCTTGGTGTGAGGGAAGGTGACGTTCAGTGTTGCTTTGTAGTTAGATGTTCCTGTATGTGATGGATCAGAGAGTGAGTTTCTCCGCTACAGTCTCTTATTTCCCGTTGATTCCCCTGTTACAGAGAACGCAGCAAAGCAAGCGCTAGCTAATATCGCCGGCCATACTGTGTAAAGCGACGAGTGCGCGGCTCCGCCAGCCTTTTATAGGCCGCCCGTCCTTCCTCCCTCTGATGTCAGGAGGCACTATGTTTTCAGCCAATCGCTCGGCGCTGTCACTTGCGGAAGCTCCGCCTCTAGACGCTATCAGTGGTGCTGCTGGTGTCTGGTTGCAGATTCTAGGAAGGGCGCAATGTAACGGCCAAAGAGGAGGGGGAGGTAGGCGGGCCTTAGTCATGCTGGCACCGCACATTGCGGATTCTTCGCTGAGGCTTTCCCATGATTAGTCTTCGTTCATTCATTTTGGCTGCTTGGATTTCATGGGATTATTGGTCTAGACCGGCTGCACCTTTGCTTTTTGATCCACGCCTCCTGTTATGCTGCATCTTTTCAGCAGTGTATGCTGTGTGTTATATAACTAGATTTTGTTTTCCACTGAGACTGGAGTCACACCATATGTGTTGCCTTCAGTGGAAGCTCCACTTATTTGCCTCCCCCCCACTGCCATATTTGGCACCTTTTTGGGGAGCGGATACCTGTGTTTGACAGGTACCCGCTCCCACTTCCAGCTCAGTTCGCCGCAAAGTGAGTCAGAAGTTCGGTCTCCTCCTCCCTCCCGCAGTCTCCTGGGAACTTTCACACGTCCCAGAAGAATGCCGGAGCAATTAGGAGACGCAGCGCAACTTGCGCATGTGCAGAGGGCACCAGGTTGTGAAACCGCAAGCTGCCACAGCCTGGTGCCCACAGGTGAGATGGCGGCGCCATGGAGAAGGGACGGCGCAGGTAAGCATATCGCTGGACTCTGGGACAGGTGTGTTTATTAATCACTTGCTACCGGGCACTTATACCCGCTTCCTTACCAGGCCAATTTTCAGTGCTGTTGCATTTTGAGTGACAATTACGCGGTCATGCAACACTGTACTCATATTTATTTATTTCAGGTACGTATATAGCGCTGTCAATTTAAGCAGCGCTTTTACATATATAGTACATTCACATCAGTTCCTAACCCTCAAGGGGTATACAATCTAAGGTCCCTAACTCACATTCATACATACACATACTAGGGCCAATTTAGACAGGAGCCAATTAACCTACCATGGGATTCAAACCGATGACCCTAGTACTGCCAGGAGGAAGTAGATATGAAATTTTTATAATTTTTTTTTCACAAATAAAGCTTTCTTTTGGTGGTATTTACTTGCTGCTGGGTGTTTTTATTTTTTGCGCTATAAACAAAAAAAGAGCAAAAAATCTGAAAAAAAGTTTTTCTTTGTTTCTATTATAAAATTTTGCAAACAGGTAATTTTTCTCCTTCACTGATGTGTGTTGATGAGGTTGTACTGATAGGTGGCACTGATAGGCAGCACTAATTAGGTGGCACTGATGATGGGTACTGATAGGTGGCACTGACTGGCGGCACTGGTGGGCACTAACTGGCGGCACTGCTGGGCTGCACTGATGGGTGGCACTGCTGGGCACAGGTGGATGGCACTGCTGGGCACTTGTAGGCAGCACTGCTGGGCACTTGTGGGCAGAATTGGTGGGTGGCACTGCTGGGCACCAATCATCAGGGCACTGATCATCAGTGCCCTGGTGATCGGTGCCGATCTCTGCTCTGACAACTGCCGGTTCTCGGCTGTACTTTCCTCACGCTCTGATAGTGTGAGGAAAGTGCAGCCGAGAACGTGCATGGACACGGCTGATCACGTGGTAAAAGGCCGCTGTGATTGGCCTTTTAGCACATCACACGATAAGCTGTGTCCGATCAGCTGTGTCACAGAGATCGCCGAGTGCGCGCCCCAAAAGGCTACCTGTGGTCAGCAGCTGGTTAAAAGTTAGCACTTACAGTTTTTGTAGCTGTTGACTTTTAATAAACACAAAAATGGCTGGAACTGTGCTTTAAGAGCAGTGGAGGATTCAATAGAAAAAAAATTATATGCACTTGTGCGATTCGAGCTGCAGCTGTTCCTCGCTGGCTCTACACCAAGAACTGAGCGATCAAAGACCGCTGATCGCTCAGTTCTCCCCTCTGCTCTGAGTAGAGAGTGGTGACTGTCAGTCACTGCTCTCTACTCTGCCCCTCCAGTGCTCACTGGAACACCAAGCTGTGAAGGGGGCAGGAGCGGTTCCCTGAGAGCTTAAACCAGCTCCTGGTCAGGTATCTGTGCAGTCATTACTCGCATTGCACATGTTCTTGGTTTAAAAGGCTCTGGGACACGGGTCTCCAAACTGCAACCTAAGGGCCAGATGAGGCCCTTGGCTTGCCTTTGGCTCTTGGTGCACTACTTCACCAACTGACACCATCGATGGGGCACTATGCCTTCAAATGGTTCTAAAGCCTCAAGGTTTTTTACCCTCATGCATTCTATGTGGGCTATCCCTGGCAACACTGGACCAAGTGCTCCACACCATGAGAAGGGGTTTGATAGAGGGAACCCGGACAAAATGCCAGGGCATGTGCATTGCAGGAAGTGGGGATGTGCCATCGCACTGTGTCCTTTGTATTCAGATGCAGTTCAAAGTAATCAGGACAGTCATGCAGCCTTTGGTTGGGGAAGGTCCAGAAGAGTGACATCAAGAGGAATCGATCCAGCCGGTCAGGGAAAGCCAACAAGCTCCCGAGGTTGCATTCCCCTATAGGAACAAGAGAGAGGATGTCACCTACTAGGAGGAGCTGCTAAGCAGACGTGGCTCAGCATTTAGGACCCTGCATGAGATATGGTCAAGTCTGTGGCAATAAAATATCTGCTGTTACCCTCGGCAAGAAAAAAAGTCTGCTTTGGCCTGCAGTGGGTGTTAGAGAGCCTGTAAAACCTGCAGTTCCACCTTGTAGCCACGTAAGGAAGTTGGTCAGGGAAAATGCAGCAGAGCACTGGTTTCAGAGGCAACGCTCTCAAGTGAAGATGGCAACACCTGTTACCATGATGGGTAAAACTGTTGCTAATAAAATCATGAGAAAGACTAGCTGTGAGATTGTCCCCTGCAGGGCCATCTCTAATATTGATTGGACCCTAGGCAAACATCTTCTTGCCCCCCCCCCCCTCCCCCATGAAATTTCACTTTCCACCTACTCTGAGATATACAATAAATAGTAGCTAAACTCAAAATCTGTTTACTGTGGCAGATCAGGCAGTAATTGATTGCCGGAGGTTACAGCATATCATTACCACTCACTGATTGCTTGCTAAAGGTTACAGCACACATTACAACTCATTGATTAGTTACTAGAGGTTACAGCACATGATTTCTGCTTGCTGGTTGGTTGCTAGAGGTTTCTGCACATCCTTACCGCTCACTGATTGGCTGCTAGAGGTTACTGCACACCATTACTGGTCACTGGTTGGTTGCTGAGGTTACTGCACATTATTACCGCTCACTGATTGGTTGTTAGAGGTTACTGCACATCGTTACTGCTCACCCATTGGTTGTTAGAGGTTATTGCACATCCTTACCACTCACTGATTAATTGCAGCACATCATCTCACTGCCTGCACACCATGGAGTGAGAAGATTAGGGGACCCACCAATAAACAGAAAACTCCTAGGACTCCTGTGATCAATGGCAGTGCTGGGTGGGAGGGTGTGATCAGTGGCAGTAGTAGGGGGAGGGTTGGGATCAGTGGTAGTGGTGGGGGCATGGGATCAGTGGTAGTGGTGGGGGGATGGGATCAGTGGCAGTGCTGACTGGGGAAGGGATCAGTGGCAGTGCTGACTGGGGATGGGAGGTGACATTTCTACACAGACCACAATGTTAGGGGGGATTAAAACCGATGACCAATGTAAGGGGGATTTACACTGACCACCACTGTAAGGGCAATTCTGCACTTATAACCAATGTAAAGGGAAATTTACATGAACAACCAATACATTTCTACACTGGCCACTAATGTAAGGAGGAATTTACACTGTCCACCAGCAGAGGTGTTGGTAGTTGGAACCTGGGGGGGGGGGGGGGGGGCATAATATATGAATGCCACATTGCAGTCGCTATTTACATATGAATGCCACATTTCCACCGCTTTTTACATATGAATGCTGCCGTTATTTACATGTGAATGCTGACACAGTGTGCACATGTGAGTCACCTGTACATGGCAATAAGACAGAGCTGTGCATCATAAGTGACAGCACTTCACAATGAGATGTTGGACACAGCCTGGACAAAGACTTCCAGGGACAATGAATGTAAACAAGTATAGTTGGCAAGTATGGGACAGCTGCTTTAGGCCCCACAACAATGACTGGGCCAAGGGCAGCTGCTCCTTTTGACTCTCCTTAACCACTTAAAGACCGCCCTATAGTAGGTATACTGCTACAGGGTGGCCCCTGTGCACAAAATCATGTATATATACATCATTTTGCATTTCCGGGTATGGGGTGCATGTGCCCTACCTGCATCACCAATCGCGGCCCCAGTCGATAATTACCCTGCTGGTGCCTGGAGATTACCGGCGATCACCGACAGGGAGGAGGGCTGCTTTGTTTACCAACAGTCCTCCCTGTCAGTTTGGGCACACTGCTCTGGATGGCTGAGCAGAGACATCCAGAGCAGTGTGCTTACATTGAAGAACACCCCCCCCCAGTAAAACACTCCTATCACACAGTTAACCCTTTGATTGCCCCTCATGTTAAACCATTCCTGCCCAGTGCCATTAGTACAGTGTCAGTGCTTTTTGTAGCACTGATCACTGTATTGGTGTCACTGGGGATGTCAGTGACACCAAGACAGTTCCCCCCCAGTTTCAGAATGCCCACCGCAGTCCCGCTATAAGTTGCTGATCACCGCCATAAGTCACTGATCGCCACCATAAGTCACTGATCACTGCCATTATTAGTATTAAAAAAAAAAATTCAAGTATATATACCGCCATTTGTAAAAGCTATAACTTTCATGTAAACCAATTAATTTACACGTATTGGGATTTTGTTTAGCAGACATGTCGCAGAATACATTTTGGCCTAAATTTATGATGAAATTAGATTTTTAAATTTTTTTACTGGACATGTTTAACCACTAGCCTACTAGGCACTTATACCCCCTTTCCTGCCCAGGCCAATTTCCAGCTTTCAGCGCTGTCGCACTTTGAATGACAATTGCGCGGTCAAGCAACACTGTACCCATATGAAATTTTTTCATTTTTTTGTGATGGATAGAGCTTTCTTTTGGTGGTATTTAATCACCTCAGGGTTTTTTTTATTTCTTCTTAAACAAACCAAAAACCACTGAAAATTTTGAAAAAAAAAAAAATTTGTTTCTTAGTTTTTGTTATAAAATTTTGTAAATAAGTGATTTTTCTCCTTCACTGATGTGCGCTAATGAGGCTGCAGTGATGGGCATTGATAGGTTGCACTTTTGGACACTGATAGGTGGCACTGATGAGGAGGCACTGGTAGGTGACACTGATGGGCACTGAAAGGCAGCACTGATATATGGCACTGTTAGGTGGCACTGACTGGCACTGTTAGGCGGCACTGACTGGCACTGTTAGGCGGCACTGATGCACACTGATAGGCGGCGCTGACTGGCACTGATAGGCGGCACTGATTGGCAGCACTGATAGGTGGCACTGATTGGCATTGATAGGTGGCACTGACTGGCACTGATGGATGGCACTGAAAGGCAGCACAGATGGGCACTGATATGTGGCATTGATCTGGCACGTGGCACTGATCGGCACTGACAGCTGGCACTGATGGACTTTGACAGGTGGCACTGCTGGGGCTACACTGATCATCAGGGCACACTGATCATCAGTGCTCTGATGATCAGTGTACATGTCCCCTCCGCAGAAAGCCGATTACCGGCTCTCCTCTCCTCTTGAGCTGTCAGCGTGACAGCTTGAGAGGAGAGAAATGCTGATAACCGGCATTTCCGTATTTACATGTGATCAGCTGTGATTGGACACAGCTGATCACATGACCGAGCCGACATCTTTGGCTCTTTCCATGATCGGTGATCCGCTGTGTCCGAGGGACACAGCACATCGTCGATCGCTGCGCGCTCGCGCTCCCTGAGCCACGCATGCGCGGTTAGAATGGGAGGATGTCATATGACGTCCTCTCAGAACGAGAGAACCACCTTGCGCCCGTCATTGGACTATATGGCGGGCGGGAGGTGGTTAATAGCAAAAAGTCCAAAATACAGTTTTTTTCTCAGAATTGTTGGTCTTTTGTTTATAGCACAAAAAATAAAAAACAGATGATCAAATACCACCAAAAGAAACTCTCAATTTGTGGGAATTCATTTGGGTCTAGCGTTGCATGACCACACAACTGTCAGTTAAAGTAACGCAGCGCTGTAACGCAAACCGTTTTTTTAATTGCTTCCTGACCGCCCTATAGCAGAAATACTGCTACAGGGCAGCATGGGTGTGCAAAATCACATATATATACACACGTGATTCCCTCTCCCGTGGTTTTCACGCCCCTCCCAGATAGAGTGAGATTGCCCATCAGTACACCAGTCATCACATATAACCCCTTGATTGCCAGGAACACGCTCATACACAATAAACCTCCATTGCTAGTATACAGGTGAAACTCGAAAAATTAGAATATCGTGCAAAAGTTTATTTATTTCAGTAATGCAACTTAAAAGGTGAAACTAATAAATGAGACTCATTACATGCAAAGCAAGATAGTTCAAGCTGTGATTTGTCATAATTGTGATGATTATGGCTTACAGCCCATGAAAACCCCAAATCCACAATCTCAGAAAATGAGAATATTGTGAAAAGGTGCAATATTCTAGGCTCAAAGTGTCCCACTCTAATCAGCTAATTAAGCAATAACACCTGCAAAGGGTTCCTGAGCCTTTAAATGGTCTCTCAGTCTGGTTCAGTAGGAATCACAATCATGGGAAAGACTGCTGACCTGACAGTTTTACAGAAAACCATCACTGACACCCTCCATAAGGAGGGAAAGCCTCAAACTAATAATTGGCCAATATATTGTGCTTTTGTGCATTAAAGGTAAAAAAAGTATATTTTTTCAAAAAATTTGCGTTTGAAAAATCGCTGTGCAAGTACTATGTGACATAAAACAATTGCAGCACCCACCATTTTATTAACTAGGGTGTCTGCTTTAAAAAAAATTATGTTTGGGGGTTCAAAGTAATTTACTAGCAAAAAATACTGATTTTTTTCATGTGAACAAAAAGTGTCAGAAAAGGCTTGGTCTTCAGGTGGTTAGAAGAGTGAATGATGTGTGACATAAACTTCTAATGCTGGGCATAAAATGCCCCCACCCCCCAAAAATTACCCCTTTTTTGGAAAGTAGACACCCCAAACTATTTGCTGAGAGGCATGAGAGTCAATAGAAGAATTTATTTTTTTACCACAAGTTTTTGGAAAATGACAAAAAAAAAAAAAAGGGTTTTTTTTACACAAAATTGTCACTTAAATGATTTAATGCTCACACATGCCATGGGCATACGTGGAATTACTCCCCAAAATACATTCTGCTACTTCTCCTGAGTATGGGGGTACCACATGTGAGAGACTTTTTGGCAGTCTAGCCAAGTACAGGACCCTAAAATGCAATAAGCACCTTCAGGCTTTTAAAGGGCTTTATTTCCTCATTACACTTCTTGACTACCTATCACAGTTTCAGAGGACCTGAAATACCGGGATAGCACCAAACCCCCCCAAATGACCTCTTTTTGAAAAATACCCACCATGCCTCTTTTTAAATTTCCTTGGGGTGTCTACTTTCCAAAAAGGGGTCATTTTTGGGGTGGGGGGTTGGCACTATCCTGGCATGTCAGGGCCTCAAAACTGTGATAGGTAGTAAAGAAGTGAAATGAGGAAGTTCCGCACCTTCAGGCTTGAAGTCATTGGATTTCAGGCTCCTGTATGTGGCTAGGCTCCCAAAAAGTCTCACACATGTGGTATCCCCATACTCGGTAGAAGTAGCAGAATGTATTTTGGGGTGTAATTCCACATATTCCTATGACTTGTGTGAGAAATATATAATTTAAATAACAACTTTGTGTAAAGAAAAAAAAATATTTTTGTCATTTTCCAAAAACGTGTGGAAAAAAAAACCTTCAATGGATTCAATAGGGTGTCTACTTTCTGAAAAGGGGTCATTTGGGGGTGTTTGTTTTGTCCCGGTATTTTAACACCTCAACAAATGTGATGGGCTGTCAGAAAGTAAAAGCTGTGTAAATTTCATTATCTATACCATAGTTTGTAGACGCTATAACTTTCACACAAAGCAATCAATATACATTTACATTGGGATTTTTTTAACCAAAAACAAATGAGAAAATATAATTTTTTTTCAAAACTTTCTTTGTAGTGCCAAAAATAAAAAGCACACAGGCAATCAAATACCACTGAAAGAAAGCTCTATTTGTGTGAAAAAATGACGTACATTTCATTTATGTACTGTATTGCATGACCGTGCAATTGTCAGTTAAACTAGCGCAGCGCTGTATAGCAAAAAAAGGCTTAAATTGCAGTATCTATACCAGCAATGGGCAAACTACGGCCCGCGGGCCGTATACGGCCCGGCGGACCTTTTTAATCCGGCCCGCGGAGCTAGGCTCCCGCAAGGCCAGTGGTCGGCAAGCCGCGGCTCTTTACAAATTTAGATGCGGCTCTCCTGTGTGCCGGGCGCCCGCTCCCCTCCCTCCTCTCCTCCTCTCCCCTCCCTCCTCTCCTCCTCTCCCCTCCTCTCCTCTCGGATGGCCGCCCCCCCTCTCGGATGGCCGCCCCCCTCCCTCCTCTCGGACGTCAGGACTCTGCAGCTGTCAGGATGTAGGCGGGGCAGCCAGGATGTAGGCGGGGCAGCGTGACGAACTCCTCTCACAGTCCTCCCTGAAGACCAGAACGGCGCGGGAATACGAGAGGAACGCGCGGACCAAAGGTAAGTGAATTGACACAGGGGGGGGACTTACTATATGGGGGACTTACTATATGGGGGACTTACTATATGGGGACTTACTATATGGGGGATGAATTACTATATGGGGGACTTACTATATGGGGAATGAATTACTATATGGGGGACTTACTATATGGGGAATTAATTACTATATGGAGGACTTACTATATGGGGAATGAATTACTATATGGGGGACTTACTATATGGGGAATTAATTACTATATGGAGGACTTACTATATGGGGAATGAATTACTATATGGAGGACTTACTATATGGGGAATGAATTACTATATGGGGGACTTACTATATGGGGAATTAATTACTATATGGAGGACTTACTATATGGGGAATGAATTACTATATGGAGGACTTACTATATGGGGAATGAATTACTATATGGGGGACTTACTATATGGGGGATGAATTACTATATGGGGGACTTACTATATGGGGAATGAATTACTATATGGGGGACTTACTATATGGGGAATGAATTACTATATGGGGGACTTACTATATGGGGGATGAATTACTATATGGGGGATGAATTAATATGGGGGATGAATTAATATGGGGGATGAATTACTATGTGGGGGATGAATTACTATGTGGGGGATGATTTACTATGGGGGATGAATTACTATATGGGGGATGAATTACTATGGGGGATGAATTACTATAGGGGGGATGAATTACTATGGGGGACGAATTACTATATGGGGGACAAATTACTATATGGGGGACGAATTACTATATGGGGGATGAATTACTATATGGGGGATGAATTACTATGGGGGATGAATTACTATATGGGGGATGAATTACTATGGGGGATGAATTACTATATGGGGGATGAATTACTATATGGGGGATTAATTACTATGGGGGATTAATTACTATGCTTACTATGGGGGAATATTACTATACTTACTATGGATGACACATACACATCATTCATCTACTCTTGGTCCGGCCCCCGGGTCCAATATATGAACCCATTGCGGCCCTCAAGTCAAAAAGTTTGCCCACCCCTGATCTATACCATAGTTTGTGGACGCTATTACTTTCACACAAAGCAATCAATATGCACTTATTGGGATTTTCTTTTTACCAAAAACATGTAGCAGAATACATTTTGGCCTAAATTTCTGACTAACTTTGAGTTTACTATATATTTTTTATAGCCAAAAGTAAAAAATATAATTATTCTTCAAAACTTTTTTTGTTTATAGCATGAAAAATAAAAAATGCACAGGTGATCAAATACAACCAAAAGAAAGCTCTATTTGTGTGAAAAAAAGGACGTAAATTTCATTTGAGTACAGCATTGCATGACTGCGCAATTATCAGTTGAAATAATGAATAGCAAAAAGAGGCCTGGTCATTAAGGGGGATAAATACTCTGGAGGGCAACTAGTTAATGATGGCCCTGGTCCCCTTTGAAGTGGGAGTAACCCCAGTTAAGAGACCCACTATCCGTTGGGGGGAGACTCGGCACTGTGCAGTGCCCTGCACAATGGGAAGGCAAGGGTTAGAGCTAAACCTTCAGCGGTGCTGAAGTCAAATGTTGAAATGTATTCTCTCCATGTACCTGAACTAATCCAGCAGAATGTTGGGACAAATATCATAGGGGTGGCCACTAAGGCATGTGTGCCATTTCCCTTAGTGACAATGCTCGGTGCAACAGAAGTGTTCCTGGAAACCTTCTACAAGCCCACAGCGTTTAAGCTAGGGGTTTCTCAGGACAGCTGCGATGCTGCACTGGTGGGACAGTGTGGACAGGAACCTTGCAGTAACCTTGATGCAAACTGCAAACAGCGGAATATGAAGTGGATAAAAATATTCAGGTGGTTAATGAAGTGCAACCCAGACAAGGTGTTGGGAGCCTAGAATTGCAACCTACTGAATTTGTGAATTTGGTATCGCAGTCTGATGTGGTTAAAAGTGCTGCAGGGAGCTGTGACTAAAGAGATCTAAGAAAGCTGCAACTGTTGTACATGAGCATAGGTGTGGTATTACTCTGGAGGACCAAGGCAAAAAGCCTGAGTAGCGGTCCTGTTTTTGCTTTGAATGCTGTATAAAGCTGAAACCCTTG